AGAGCAGTTAATACTATTATTTGTCAAGCACAACCAGGGCCCGTGGATGGTTTGGGTCAAACAGGACGTCGTTTATGTAGTAAAAGAGGGCGTGTCGTAGAATCTGCTAAGCATACATATAAGCAACCTCCAGATACGCTAACCATCAAGTTGGTACATGAAAGACATGCTGTAACGTGTATCTTCCCATGAAGCCTACCGAATTCAAAATAAGCATAAAGAAACAATTTGCTTATCTACGGCGCACAAGCAACCACATGGCACCAAATCTCTGCTACTATACAGTATTACTTCCAACTACATTATGCAAAGAGTTTAACATTGACATAAGTCTCCTAATACCCGTTAAACTACCCGTTCCCGAATTTATTGGTTTTTAGACCATCAATAAACAAGTGGATTAGTTTGGAGCATGAATAATGGAGACTTCACATAAGTCGATGATTGATTAATTTGGACTTTTTGACTGAACTTTTTGATTTGGACTCAAAAATTTATCATATAGCGAAGAGAGAGAGAGTCAAAGCACTGTTTCAAAACAAACAGCCGAACAGTTTAAAATACGACCAATTATAAGCTGTGTTGGGGGGCCAACCGATAGAATATCTTGGTTCTTGAACAAGATTGTTTGTCAGCTACTGACCAAGGTTCCGTCCCATTTATCAAACACCAACCATTTCCTTGAGCGCTTACACAACGCTAAGTTCAACGACGAGTGTGTGGCTGAGTCATTTGATGTGGTATCTCTGTATACAAATGTTCAAAATGACGACGCCTTACAAGCGTTATCCGAAATGTTGGATAAGTTTGGTAAAGACATTCAAACCTTCGGCTTGAGTAAAAGTAACATTATGATTCTGGTCAAGGAGTGTTTGAACTATAACATTTTCAAATGGTCAGGATCTTACTATACTCAGCCAAGAGGTCTCGCAATGGGACAAAGACTTGCGCCAGTGCTAGCGGTCTGTCTTATGAGTAGAATCGAGAACCCGGTGCTGTTAAGACTACCTCTTATGTACTGTCGCTATATCGACGACTGTTGTATCATAACATCCACACAGTCCGAAATGGACGAGTGTTTCCGTTTATTGAATCAACAGTCAGAGTACATAAGATTTACACGAGAACAGCCAACTGACGGGTGGCTCCCATATTTGAACGTGCAATTTAAACTGTCCGGATCTCACGCGATTGTAAAATGGTATCGTAAATCAAGCTCGAAAAACATCTTGTTGCACGCCCGCTCTGCTCATCCTTCAGCCGTCAAACGTGGTGTTATCCACAATATGTTCAAGACTGCAACACAGGTTTGCACGGGAGAAAAGGAACGGAAGGAATCACGAGATTTGGCGCTGGACATCGCTAGAGGGAATGGCTACTCGATGCACAACGTACGTAGGCCAGGTACCTCGTATGAGATGCTTCAACGCAACAACAAAATTCCTCTCTGTTTACCTTTCATCTCTGATCGAGTAAGTGTTGCTATACGGCGAAGCATTGAGCGAGCACATCTGAGCAACGATATCATTTTAGTAGACATACCAAGCGCGAACATCAAGAGAAAGCTTGTACGCAATAGACTTTATGACAAATTTTGCATTACAAAAGAATGCAGAGTTTGTCCGTATGGCAATGTTGGCGACTGCGCGAAAGTTGGAGTGATTTACCAGATAGATTGTATAACATGCGGCGTGTCCTACATTGGAGAGACTGGAAGACCGCTAAGTGTTAGACTTATAGAACACTAGTTGACTTACCCGGCTCCGCCCGGCCCTGTCATTATTAATTCGTAATCAGCATGCTCGATTACCCCCCTGTGCCAACTCCCAGCCCCGTAGCTCAAATTTTGCAAAAAATCGATAAAATCGATATCGATCGATGACGAAAAGTAGCCTGTGACACCCGCCGGGGCCCGAAGTGTATGTGTGCCAAGTTTGGTCCGGATCGGTTCAGAAATGGAATTTTCTATTCGGAACATACGTACACACAGACATACATACATACAGACAGACAGACAGACAGACAGACAAACAGACATTCAGCTTTATATATAAGACTAGCCGATAAACGACGTGGCGGTCTAAACTCACCACTCGGGAAACATAGGCATGAACAACATGGTGATGCAGACTATGACATCAAGTGCACGATTTTGGCTTGCGAGACTAACACATCTGCGCGAAAAGCTCTCGAAGCATTCTGGATCTCACAGAGAAACCCATCGATGAACAACAGAAAGGAATGTTTAACGATCACGAATGACTTCTTGCCATTTATACCGCTATGTGAGCTATAAATAGTAGTGATTACACTGACCCATAAGCTTCCTAAAATGGCTTTTTGGCACTACTGACACCAAAGGACGTGGTTGCACAATACCATCAGTGCTCCAACGGTGAAGCGAAGCAAGGGTTAGTTCGTCTTTCACTTTCTACGAGTATTGTTAGTGAAATCAGTGAGGGGTTCGAAACTAGCTTGATAAGGCATTTGGTGGAGTAGAGCACAAGATCAAAATCTCGCACCACTTTAGGCCTCTGAAGACGACAGTCGAAACGTAAGGCCGCAATAAAGAGCTTCACCAAACCTCGTATGGCATAAGAAAACATTATCACATACTCTTAGCTTTGTTTGCTTTGAAAACATTGATATAATATATTAGCTCGTTGCATAAGTCTTGTAACACTTTGAATTTTACCGCAATAAGTTATGCGATTCTTATTTTTGGTTAGGCTTCAATCTGCACATTCGATATCTTAAAGCAAGCTCTAAGAGATAGTATGTAGGAATTCGCATAAGCTTCTATCAATCGAAGTTGATGCCAAACTAATCTCTGGATGCCAAAAAAATTTTCGTTCAGAAAACTTTGCGGAAAAAAACCTCGCTCACACATAGACAACGCGATGTATATTTTTCTCTGCCAGAAATCATGAAAACTAAGATTTTCATGCTCTTACAGAAGAAGCCATGCTTTTTCGACATATAATGGTAAACTACAAACCTTTGAAATTTAACTCTAAATTTTCTTTCCACGAGTGTTAACTTTGGAGAGTTATCAGAACTTAGAACTCAGCTCTCATCATTTGAGTGTTCCGTGCTAAAACCAATATTTTTCAAAACCAAGGCTTGTAGAAAGCCGAAAATTTACTATTGTACTTCTACTTGTATGCAACTACTTTGTGGGAACAGCAAAGGGTTGTGCCAGACTGCGCAGTGTACGCACACGTACATGCAGATATGGGCTCTGCGCGTACACCGCGCTATCTGGTTCAATGCATAGCTTTACTTTTGTGTGGGGATGAAAATTTTCGTTGTTTCTTCTAGCCAAAGAAAATACAGCAGCGGTACGTTTGATTACTGTGGAGTACATATACTTGAGAGAATTAACCGTAGAGTTTTTGTAGACAGAGATGTGAATTTTCTTCAATGGTATTTTTCGTGTTCTCAGTCTCTAGCCAAAGAATAAATACAGTGGCAGTGCGTTTGATTATTTGATGTGGAGTGTATATGCTTGAGCGAATTATCCGCAGGGTTTTTGTAGATAGAGATATTAGGTTCCCGAAGGTTTTGTCCGTTTTTTTAAACCACTATAAAACCATGCACAAAGACCTGAATGAGTTTCAACATGCATTCGATGCAGCTTTTCCTTCTCGTTCTTAATGTACATTTTCGAAATAAAATCTTTATGCTTTTTTTGATAATTGCAAGAATTCTCGACCCATCAATTTTATCTGCTCAAACTTAGGCTAATTTTCAAAAATTTCATTTCAAACTTTCGGAAAGAGTTAAGTAGGTGTCGAATAGAGCAATTCTCGGACTACAAGACTGTATTCTTAGATTCTCCCAATCTGCTGTTTTTAGCTTCAAACAGTCATTTCTTCACAGGTTTCCATTTTTGGCAAAGTCATGAAACACGCAACTGCAGCATATACACGAAGGCTTTCGAAGTTTCTGCGAATTGAAACATGATTCTTACTAAACATTATTTATGCAACATAACCAAGTTTGATTTGCCTTGAAAAAGCAGCTTCTTGGAATTTTATGTACTTTTACGTGATAAACGTAATCAAAAAGCCGCAGTTTTTGTTAAATATATAATTACAACGGACTTGGTAGACGTGGCTCGTGTAATCTAGAATGAACACAATGTAGCCAAATGTTTGCTCTACATAATGTTTACCAGCGCTCTTTGAAAGCTTCAGGATGAAAATTTCTAAAATTCAGGAAAGATTTGGCGTTACTGCGAGCTGCTCAAAAAGCCATGGCGATAACGTTGCAAAGACATGATAGAACACAGAGCAAATATAGATGTAAGAAAGAGGATAAAAATCTGAATCAAATGATACCTAGGTGTCCGTGAATTGCTGTTCTGTGAGTTTTAGTGAACGATGAAAAAACGGACTAAACTTTCGGGACAACCTAATATAAATATTCTTCAATGCTTTGGGCATTCAAAACTTTTCAAGTTTAGTTCTAAATTCGCGGTTAAAGCTGGCGCAAACTTCAACAACCAATTTGTAGAGCTTGCTTTGCTGTGTCGAATGAAATTTAATTGAAAATAAAAAGCTTAAAAATGGTGCGAAAAAAAATCAAAGTGTGATAACCAACGTTTCTTCAAAAACCAAAACAACCGGAACTTAGAATGTTTAATCACTTCTGTTGTGTCCTTGACTCGGACACTTCGATTCTTCGTCCTGAAGCAGGCACAGAGGAAACAAATATATTTATTATAGAAATAAAAGACAATAGAAAATGAGAGGTAAAGTAGTGAACGAATGAACTGACAATGGCTAACAGCGAGCGCCTTTTATAGCGCTCATTTCCCGCGCATTGAGGTCGCAGGCGCCTCAGCGAGGGCAGATCATACGAGAAAACAACTGATCAGACACTAATACAACAACTTCAATGCTTTATCTAAAACGATAACATTTCTCGTTAGGAATGCTTATTAGTTTTGTTTAGATAAAGTTTTGCTTCATATTCAAGGACAAATCAGGTTTAAGAAATAACGAAAAGGATGTCAACGTCGAACTCATGGATAGGATTGATGCAAAAGAACACTATCTCCACTTCTCCACAGTCATCGTTTGTATGGCTGGATGGAACACCAGTGAATTATACTAACTGGGCTGAAGGAGAGCCACATCATGTTAGAGGAGAAGATACCTGTGTCAGCGTAAGTTAAAGCAATTTTATGAGTTGATGATTGAAAATTTCTATTGATATGATTACTTCGGAGCTTCGCTCATGTAGGGAAAGCAGGAAAAAAATTGAGATTCACATGACTAGACAGATGCATGTTTCAGCTATGCAAAGATGCATAGAAAAAGGTTCTGTATAATAACTTTTTCAAAACGTTGATTTATAACTTGATCTTGGTTGAAATCGGCCATTCCCATACTGAACAACCAATAAAATAAATTGTCAAAGCTGTCGCGTCCCGTTCAATTGTACACTATAACAAACCATTTCAACAAAGTAGCAAACAACGATGGTATGTTACTCCCTCACTTAGTTAAGAAATGTACACCATGGTTTTGGTGTATGCTTGTTTGCACATACTGATCCACTGAGTGTCGTAATTATTGTCCTACAAAGTGCTTAGCATAGGACAATCATTGTCGGGCACAATGTTGACAAACGTCGAGTCGGATGACGGAGAAGAGCAGAGGAAAATTGAAGGGAAATGACAATTAGAGAAGGAGTTGTAAGGGTTCCGTTGGCAGAGCTCTGAAAAAATTTTGGTGCTAAATTCCCAATCGTCCTATAAGAACAGATAATGGGAGTATGAACATCTCATGCTGATGAAAGAGTATTTTGTTGAATTTGAGAGGCAAAGAGGGAGTTCTACACGTTTATGTATCGATATAACACTGATTTTGGTGGTAACAAGAGCTCAATGATTACCAAGAGCAGAATAAACCAGATCGTGAAATTATGTGAACAATTGTGGCAAACTTTTTTCATAATGGCAAAAAAACATTTTTATTCAAAAGACCTTCAAAGCGAGGTAGTGCTAAAGTAAAGCCATATTTATTCTATTGTGAACCTTTTGAAACTTCTCTTTTCGATTAGCCGTAAACAGGCAGCGATGCAAACGTTATTCGTGCGAGTGACATTCGCGTAATGTTTTGGCAGCGTCTTGCTATCTCCTACATCCTCCGAGAAATTCCAGAAATTCTGAATAAGTGACACATCACTGGTCAGAGTTTGAAGCTTCCTTCAGTGACTCGAGGTGAAGAATTTCTATACTTTCCAGATAAAGAAAGATTTTTTGAAGAGCGATTTTTGGAGTGGACCAAGATTTAGCGAACTCTGAGGTTTCCAGTATTGGGTTACCCAAGGTGAAATGGTCATTTTCGAACATGTTAATTATGTGTTTCAGAGGTGAGCTGGCTGCTTCTTTTTACAGATACTGCAAAGTACTTTCTCTTCTTTGCTCACGATAGGAGTCCCACCAGGGCCCGGCACGCGTTGGTTTGGAGGTCTTTAGGAAATGAAGTCCCCCATGACTTCGCGAAAGTCCCTCTCGACGTGAAAATCAGTAGGGAAACCCTAATTTAACCAAAATAGCAACAAAAAAGCGAAAACAGCGCATTTTGAGGTATGTAATATAACAAAAAAGCAAAAAGAAAACATTTCGAGTCGATTAAAGGCTCTGCCATTGGGTATAGTAATTCGAAATTCGCGCCCTTGCGAAAGAACACTTTCAACTCGTGAAACCTGACATGTTCGTCGTGTTTTTTTCTTGGCGCTTCCTCCAGGACCTCATAAAAACGATGTACCCGTTGCTTCTAACTCCAAAAAACGAAGTCCAGTTTGACCCCAAACCATCGGTGCCGGGCCCTGAGTCTCACTTCGAATAATCGAGAAATTATGGAATTAGGAACAAGCCAAAATTTCGTTGGCCCCATTTCTTGCTTTCGTTGTCTTAGACTAGAGAAAACCAACCAGGCTCAAATCACTCTTGTGAAAGCTACGAGGTCTAGCCTGTCGATCGCATAACCTTTGATTTAACTGGCTTAACAGTTGGAAGGAGGGGCTTTATGACCAAATTAAGGACGCTCGCGCCCGCGACGCAGTCTGCTTCCCTCTTGCGCGCGTGCTCTCTGAACATCAACGCCGTGATTAGGTAACGAACTCCCGCCTTCCAGCCGCCAAGCCAGTTGAATCAAGGAGTATATTCCTGCCTTCCCTCGCGGTCCAAGTGGTAGTGCAGATTTAGCATACTACCGTGATCCAATATGTCGCATTTGCATAGGGTATGAAAAACGACTATATCTCGCACTAAAAGAAGATTTCATTGGAATGCAAAGAAATTTGTATGCTTTAACACATTGACGACAATACGACCCACCGGTGGGTCGTACGTGTACTGCCACTTCGGACAATACGACCCACCGGTGGGTCGTAAGTTTCGAAAGCTCTAACTTTGCCAGCATGCGATGGAATTCTACTGTATTTTGGCACATGATTGGGGACACCTCGGCGAAGCTCTAGCCGGAGTGGTCCGGGTCCGGGATACTGTAGTGTAATGTTACGGTAGGTATACCGTAGATAGAGGTAAGGCACAGATTTTAGCTCCAATTTCTCGCAGAGTGGTGTTGTTTTTGACAATTCAAGTTTACATGCACAAGAAATACAGGGAGCATGAGACTGATGTCAGCCCAGCAAAAATTATCGATTTTATTGATTTTATTGATTTTTCGCATTGTTCATCCCAGGAAGCTCAAACCTTGCATTTATAGGTTTTTTAGCATGCTGATTACGAAAATGATAGTCTCAAGTTCTAATACTGCCTTCTTACATCAGTTTCTTGAGTTTAAAAAAATCTACCGTACTGCTACCGTAGTCCCACTGTGGGAAAGTAGTGAACAAGTGGACACTACAATCGTGATCAGCATGTGAAATAACCCCAAAACACAATTTTTCACGAAAATACGTGATGTTAGGTTCGTACAGAGTGAGTACCGTAATCTTACCGTATACTGCCAAAAACTGAAACAAATCATATTTTGATAATCAGCGCCTTCGATAGCCCTTGTGGGGATATTCTCAGAGACATGTTTTGAATTTCTTACAAAAAGACTACCATTTCGGACAATACGACCCACGGGTGGGTCGTAAGTTTGGCAGAGCAAAAAAGGCTCCTGTCCAAAATGGCAGTAATCGAAAAATCGGCCTTGTCGTCAATGTGTTAGAGATAAGTTAATAAGGTGTGACAACCCTTCTCCCAAAGGTGTAGCAGTCACAGCTTTTTAGGGGTTGTGCACAACCCCTCAACTTACCTTCAAAGTGTTTTTTCACACTGCAGTCGCTGCGGCAACGGCAGTCAATCGATCGATATCTATTGCCCGCCCCAATATGACTGCAGCAGCTAGCGACTGCAGTATAAAACAACCCCAAGAGATTTTTAGCGGATAATATATATATATAGAGTTCGATAGCACATATTTCGTACTTTTCATAAAAGTGATTTGACCTGATCCATTCTCCTTACTCAGTGTGATAGTCGCTGAAGGAGAACCGCTGAACGTAAAAAATGGGGCAGATGAGATTTTGACTGGCTCCTAATTTCACAATTTGGAGGTTATTTGAAGTGGAATTTTCATGTGAGCAAAGAAGAAGTAGTGCTTCGCAATGAGTACAAAAAGAGTTAGCTATTTCATCTATAAAGTAGGGTTAACTATGTTTGGAAATGACCTTTTCACTTGTGTAGCCCAATATTGGACACCTTTAAATGCCGCTAAAATTTAGCTTACAGGGGTAAATTGCCATGCGAATTTGTTACTGAATATGCCTGGCATAGCCTCGATGTCATGCCTACGGAAGGCAAACGGGCTGGGGTGGGGAGGGGGGGGGGAGGAGGAGGAAGTCGTAACGGCGGTTGTGTGCAATTTTTCGAATATGAACATCACAAAGATCTAGTATGCTTTGTAACATCAGCCACTGTGACGCAATCTGACATTTCACTACACATCTGATGGCTTTTAGATGCTATATGGAAATGGGAAAACATTTGGACAATGGCAAGTGACCAACTGTCATAATAAGACGAAAAATTACGTGTGCAAGTCATCAGCAGAGGAAATGAGCGCCATACTGACGACTAAACCTTATGGTCGTGAATCAAACAGATCTTGCGAAGAAACAGATGGGCATTTTTCCTATTGCTTTGAAAATCATAGATACGCGGTAAGATGATCTAACGACATAAAGTTCTAGATTGATAAGAACACCAAATTTGTCCATATGTTTTTTAGCTGATACCTTATCCACAAGGAGTAAACTGGGAGGAAGGTCAAAAAGAGTGCGAGAAATACCATTCAAACCTAGCCTCTATACATAATCAGGAAGAAATGGAGTTTATCAAATGTAAGTGTTAGCAGATAAAAAATTCTGTTTTCTTGCGTGGGGTGCATAACGATGAAGAAGTACATCGAAAGAATCAACACATAGCTCATATTTATTCACAACGATTAGTCTTAAGTAACCTAAATTACGCTCAAGGTATACAGCTCATCTCATCGATAGCGTATCTCGGGAGTGTCGCAATGGAGTGAAATTGTTTAGGAGTTACGAAACGCATAGAGCGCCATTGATTTATTCATTTGAGGATGTCAGTCTCGTTGCACTACTACAATTTTGCATCTCATATTTTGCATCCTTGCCCTTCAGGCTCAACGCTATACCCAGAAGTGCGGTGAGGGGGCCGGGCCCTTTCGAGATTACGGTGGTGCGACCTGCTACGCCACTTTACCGTCAGGTTTCAAATGGTACGTTGCACTAGATAGCAAAAAAGGTCGATGCAGGAGTTCATCGCTAGAAAATCAGGCGTTTGGAAAATCTGTAATCCTGGGTTGCTTGATAACGACTGCCATTTCGATTCTTATAAGTATTAAGTATAAATGTATGTGTTGTGGCGTCGTAGGTTTTATAGAATAAGGCTTGCTCTGTCAAAATATAATTTGGTCGATCTAAGGGAAGATCGATGAAAGCCGCCGTTGAAAAAGCACCTGAATCGGTTTTAAAATTTCAACAGCCCACGACTTCTTCTAAACCTCATGTCTACAGGGCGTCCCAGTCTTTAATCCCAACTTTCCAACGTAGTAACTTTGTTCATTAGCGTAGGATTGAAATTTAAACACTTAAAGTAGTGCCGTGCCAATAAGAAAAAAATTCTTGGAAACAAGAAACCCGACAAAGCTGAAACACCAAATTAGTCTCACTAATTCTAGATGTAAACCTTTTTGGGGAAATATCTTTTCAAAGTCACTCTGTGTATATCATATGTTCTGTTTTCGTGTTTTCTCAAGAGCTGATTGTTACATTTTGACACTTTTGTTGAATCTTATAGGCATACTTCTCAAATTGAGGTGCTATTAATTGCCGAGTCAAAGCCCTTGACTTCTCTTTGTGGTCAGTCATGAAAAGCAAGGCTTGCTCCATTCCGTTCTGAATTTTGGACGATCTGGAACGCGTGCTTCAGAAGGTCTGAGACAATCTCCACGTCAGCTACCTGTCTGCCGCGATGCATGCGCTGCGCAAGCGTCTGAGGACCTGTATGAAGGCCAAAGAAGAGTTTTTCGAACCTGAAGGTACCTTCTTCTTTTGTAGGTTCTTCACGAAATACCTGCTAGATTTCATACGTCTGATTTGCTTCGTGCAGTTTCAGCTGAAGAAACACTAGGCTCAAAGGCTTTCGGGACACCCTGTATATACATATATGTACACCACTGATATATATATATTAGGTTGTCCCATAAGTCTTTTCATTTTTGAATTTTCGCTATAATAAGTCACACACTTCTTACTCTAGATAGACATCAGAATACCATTCGATAGAGCAAAGCAAGCTCTATAAGATGGCGCTTACGCTTTCGCACAAGCTTTGGTCTATCTCGAGTTTTAAACCAAAATCTAAAAAGTTTCGGATGGCCAAAAAACCGAAATTTTTTTATATCTTCGTTCAAAAAAAATCCTACAAACCTCAAACTTGCTCACGTATAAATATTTCACATCAGACATTCATATGTGCTGTTGCTGCATTTTTTTATCAGCTAGAAATCAAGAAACCGAAAATTTTTATGTTTTTACCAAAGTGATGCTGTGCTGTTCTTACACAAGCAGTTGCATAGTAGAAGCCCTCAGAAGTACTGCAGTAGATTTTTGGCTCTCTATATGCTCTAGTTCACGAGAAATATCAAATTTAGCTTTCTTCACTTGGGTTTTTCATGCTTAAATCAACATTTCTCGGGAACCAGAGCTTATATAAAGCTAAAAAATTACAGTTGTACTTCTAAGGGCTTGTAGTATACAACTGTCAGTGTAAGAACAGTACAGCATCACTTTGGTAAAAACAGGAAAATTTTCGGTTTCTTGATTTCTAGCTGATAAAAAAATGCAGCAACAGCACATATGAATGTCTGATGTGAAAAATTTATACGTGAGTAAGTTTGAGGTTTGTAGGATTTTTTTGAACGAAGATAAAAAAATTTCGGTTTTTTGGCCATCCGAAACTTTTTAGATTTTGGTTAAAAACTCGAGATAGACCAAAGCTTGTGCGAAAGCGTAAGCGCCATCTTATAGAGCTTGCTTTGCTCTATCGAATGTTTTCCTGATGTCTATTAAGACTAAGAAGTGTGTGACTTGTTACAGCGAAAATTCAAAAATGAAAAGACTTATGGGACAACCTAATATATATTAGGTGGGTCCGAAAGTTCTGTCGTTTCATTTTCACAAATTTGTAACTTTGCGCTGTGTCAACGGATTGGCTTGCCTGTAATTTTATCAGAAAGAATAAGTTTTTCGCTTCCAAACGCTTCTTTGATCAGCTTCTGTTTCACGCTGGATGAGGAGATAAAAATGGAAAACTAAGACCATATAAGCTTTGACCATTTTAAGTTAAATCACCAAAAATCGGTAACGCTGCAGAAAAATCTGAAATCGTCAACACATATGTTTTTTGACCTACCTTCGCAACTGTGAAAAGTTTGTGCTGTTTGGACGTCTCTCTAAAAAGTTATAATTTTCGAGTTTACTATGGAAAACGCCAAAATTGATAAATTTGCCAATTTTCTCAATAATTATAACTTTTCACAGAGACGTCCAAACAGCACAGACTTTTCACAGATGCAAAGGGTAGGTCAAAAAACATATGTGTTGACGATTTCAGATTTTTCTGCAGCGTTCCCGATTTTTGGTGATTTAACTTAAAATGGTCAAAGCTTATATAGTCTTAGTTTTCCATTTTTATCTCCTCATCCAGCGTGAAACAGAAGCTGATCAAAGGAGCGTTTGGAAACAAAAAACTTATTCTTTCTGAAAAAATTACAAGCAAGCAAATCTGTTGATACAGCGCAAAGTTACAATTTTTTGAAAATAAAACGACAGAACTTTTGGACCCACCTAATATATATTAGGTTGTCCCGAAAGTTTTGTCGGTTTTTTTCATCGCTCACCAAACCTCACAGAACACCATTCCATGAACGGCCTAAATGTCATTCTATTCACATTTTTATCCTCTTTCTTATAGCTATATATGTTCCCTGATCCACCTCGTCTTTGCGATGTTATCGCCATGGCTTTTTGAGCACCTCAGCAGTAACGCCAAAACTTTCCTGAATTTTCAAAAATTTTATCTTGAAATTTTCGACGAGTGCTGGTGACTGTTATTTAGGGCAAACCTTTTGCTACATTGTGAGTACTCTGCGTTGATACCACTGCTT